GAAATTACGTGCCGACATCTTCCAACACTGCTGCACGGGGTACAATCACTACGACATCAATAACCTATCCTGAGTTTGAGCTCACTCTCTAGATGCACAAGTCCATCCACCCCCTCGTGGACATCAATTAAATGTGCGGCAACATCCTTCCAATCCAAAGTTATGTTGTATCCTTCTTCATTTCAAGAAGCTCATTTCCGTTATATCAAATCTCCTGCCGCATAGTAGCACATACTTCAAATTAATCCGTAGCCCCCAATCACCAATCACTAAAATTCCCAATCATTTCAAACTCTCCTTAAGGTGTGTATTCATCCTACCACAAAGCCCATATGCAACTCCGTCACTCTCCCACTTTGGCAGAACTCACCCCTTTAATCGACTACTCGACCTTTGCTTCTTATACTTGGCCTTCTAGAAATTTTAACCACCGCCTGACATACCCCACATGTACTTCCTCATACCTTGCTGCTCAGTTGTTTCCTTAAATAAAATCTATCTTCGTAGCACTTGAACCCACAAATCGCTACTAACTTTAACCGTTTCGAAGATCATCTTTCTCGAGCCGTCAACATTAGAAACACCGATTCAATCCTGAACCACTGCACCCCGCGATATCTAATAGTTGTTTCTCCAATATTATTTCACAATATCTTACCCCAAAGGCAAATTGCAGAAGACCATAACACCTGCGAACTTAACACATACAATCGAGGACGACGACACCACGTCGCAGATGAAAATCCCATCACACTTGAAATCACCAAGTCTTGTTACTCCATCACTCCAAATCTGGACATCCCTAGGCCAATTGTTTTTCCTCCGCCGGAAATAAAATATCAGATCTCTGAATCGTGCACCGAGTAGACTTCCTTTCAAATCGTTCACCGCCCAAACACACAAGCAAGTATCCTACCATCAAGTCAATACTGTGCGATAACCAATCGTGAGCATCATAGTAATATATGCATAGCCTCCAAGCTCTTAGAAGCACAACTACCGAGCCGAAAAGATAGAAAAATCCTTTCGCAAGGCGATGACAATAGCCCAACCAACTACACCGGGAGGAACGTCCCGCACCACATCTGTAGTACCATTACAATTCTTCAATTCTCGATTTATAACAAGCGGTTTGCGTCGCATAAGATTGAGTAGGAAGGAAACAAGGGCATAAGCCTCAAGGAATCAAACCGCATGATGAGGAATCAAGAAGGGAAATGCTCCTAACAGTCCTGTAGCCTCTCGAAGATAAGTACAGACGTCTCCGTACCGATCCGCAAGACTCTACTAGACTCGCTCATGACTCATGAGACCTAAGGGAAACTAGTGCTCTGATACTATGTTGTCACGACCCAAAATCCACTAAGGGTCGTGATGGCGCCGGACACCACTATCAGGCAAGCCAACAATAATTTACTAGCAATTTTTCATTTTTATTTATTTTGAAATCATTTCCTTTAAACAAATAAACAATGAATACTAAACTCCACTGAATAAATTAGGATGTATTTACAAAATTTAACTACTGGAAATTCCCGTGATCATCCCAGAACCCGATGTCACAAGTGCATGAGCATTTACTAGTGAATGAAACAAAATACAGTGACTGTCCGGAATACAAGTGAACAGAAATGAAAATACAATACAATACTCTGAAGGAGACTCTGCTGAATGCGGGGCGTCTCGATAATGCAACTCACCTAAGTCTCTGTACCAATAATGCCACTATGCCACTATCCACACATGAACCTGTGCAACAAAAATGCACAGCAAGTGTAGTATGAGTACAAAAACAACGTGTACCCAATGAGTATCCCGTCTAATCTCGAAGAAGTAGAGACGAGAGGTCGACTTCGACACTTACTAGTGGTCCAATAATAATATTTATAAAAATAGGAGGAGATCATGGATTCTATAAAGCAATTATAAACTCATAAAGCCAGGTAGTAGGTAGACAACTTCCCAAATAATAATGGATTTCCAAAGATTTACTTTTCATCATCTTTATCAATTTATCTCCGGCCAGGAAAGGCAAATATCAACATTTATAAATCTTAGGTAACAATACAAGCATGCGCATATCATGCCGAGGTCGTACGACCCGATCCAACATAAATGTAAAATATGCACTGCCGAGGGTCAAACGACGTGAACCATAGATGCATCTATTACCCCGCTCGCGAATCATACATGCGACGCGGTCAACATAAATAAACAAATACTCCGCTCGCGAATCATACATGCGACGCGGGCACACATAGATACATGCATTCAAACAGCCAATTAAGAATTTATCGGGGAATGTTTATCCAAATAAAAGCCAATTCTCTTTTAATGATTTAAGAAAAATGAAGTTTAATCCTCATAGAAATTTATTTACCAATTCGATAGGATTTAAGCAATTCAACTATCAATAAGATTATAATTTATTCCAAGTATAACATGTTTTTGGGTCCTAGACTACCCGAACTTAAACATGATAGTAGCTACGCACGGACTCTCGTCACCTCGTGCATACACAGCCCCCACAAATAGGAGCACATAACCAATTATTTCACCTATGGGGACAATTCCCTCTTACAATGTTAGAAAGGAGACTCACCTCGCTCCGAAGACCCATAACCGGCATTCCACGCCCTTCCGAAGACTCGAATCGATGCTAAATGCTCCAAAACTAGCCAATGATTATGCAAATCTATTAGTATATGTTCAACTACCCATTACAATCCAATTTATAACAATTTCTAACCCCGATCGAAAAGTTAACAAAATTGCCCTCGGGCCCACGTGCTCGGATTCCGAAATTTCTCCAAGATAAAGTTTACCCACAACCTCACGAACTCAAATATATAATCTACTCTCAATTTCATACCCAAAATCGTGGTCAAAAACCAAGAATATCAATTTTCTAGGTTTTCCTTAAACCCCCAAATTTCTACCAATTTACATGCTTAAATCCGAAATAAAATCATGTATTTAACTTCTAACGAGTGGGAACAACTTACCTTGACATAGATGAAGAAAATCTCTCTTCCAAAAGCTCCAAAATCGTCCAACTCGAAGTGAAAATGGGTGGAAATGAACCAAACTAGATTTTTAAAAGGAGTTCACTTACTCCAGTCCTTTCGCACCTGCAGTCTCTTGACCGCTTTTGCGGTCCCGCAGGTGCGGACCAAATGTCGTTTCTGCGGTCCGGGGCTCCCAGCCCATTTCCGCTTCTACGCTCCTTCTTCCGCAGGTGCGGTCCCGCTCATGCGGTGACCTGACCGCATCTGCGGTCCTGGCCTTCAACCTTTATCACCGCATCTGCGCCCCTTTAGCCGCTTCTGCGGCTCCGCACCTGCGAGACTTGGGCCGCAGGTGCGGTTACACTAGCAACCAACAACTTCAGCTCTTCCTCCAAGTTCCAATTCGATCTGTTAACCACCCGGAATCCACCCGAGGCCCCCAATACCCTAACCAATCATACCAACCAGTCCCAAATACATTACGGACTTGCTCGAGGCCTCAAATCATATCAAACAACGCTAAAATCATGAATCGACCTCCAATCCAAGCTTAATGAACTTTGGAATTTCAAACTCCTACATTTGGTGCCGAAACATATCAAATCACATCCGATTGACTTCCAATTTTGCACACAGGTCACATTTGACATTATGGACCTACTTTAACTTTCGGAATCGGATTCCGACCCCGATATCAAAAAGTCCACTTCCGGTCAAACTTCTCAAAAACCTTCAAATTTCTATCTTTAGCCAAACGACTCCAAAATGACCCACGGACCTTTGAATTCACTTTCGATCGCGCTCCCAACACCAGAATCACTATATAGAGCTATTCCCAAACTCGGAATCCCAAATGAACATTGATAACACTGAGATGCACTTCAACCCAAACCTATGAAAATTCTTCCAAAATGCTAACTTCCACAATAGGTGCCAAAACATTCTCGGGTCTTCCAAAACCCGATCCGGACATGTGCCCAAGTCCGAAATCATCACATGAACCTGTTGGAACCTTCAAATCCCGATTCTGAGGTCGTTTACTCAAAAATTCAATCTTAGTCAATTCTTCTAACTTAAAGCTTCCGAAATGAGAATTCTCTTTCCAATTAAACTCCAAACTTACCGAAATTCAATTCCGACCATGTGCATAAGTCATAATACCTGAAGTGAAGGTGCTCATGGCCTCAAACTGCTGAACGACGCGCTAGAGCTCAAAACGACCGGTCCGGTCGTTACAAATATATTTTCTAACTTGGCCAACTTTAAAATGAAAAAAAAAAATTATGTTGCACTTGCAAAAGGAATATTAATATCGACAACTAAAGTCTTGATCATGATCGAGCAACCGAAACGAATGAAAGAAACGTACACCAAGAATATCAGTCTATCAGAAAGTATTAGGTAAAATACACTTCATACAATGTTTTTGCTTCATGAAATGAAAATAGTAAACTATCACATTTACTTTATTAATTTTTTGTTTTTATTTTTGTAGGCTCAGTCGATATCGAAGCATTTTTACCTCGACAAAATAAGTCACCATATATGACGATCCACATTGAACATACAAATAAACTTCTACTTCATTCTTCATATATAATTGTTTATTTAAAATTTTATTTTAATAACATTGATATTATTTTACAAATTATTTATTACATGACTAGATATATACACGTGTAACGCACGTGTTGAGAACTAGTATATATATATTTAAAAAAAACCAACCGACCCTTTTTAGCTTCTTGAGTTAGTTTTGGGTTTTAAATCTTCTTTTTTTCACTTTTAATTTTGACTTGGACAAAAGATGTGCACTATTTGCAAACATTAAGGACCTGTTATGATTATTCAGAGATACATAAGACTAAAATTTAACCCTTACTATTTTCATCTTTTTTTCTTTCTCTAAATCACTCTCACACGTTTCTTCTTCGGTTGTACTACTATAATATTTGCTTTCTTTCCCAGAAAATCTCCGCGATTCTGCCACCGCCGGACGCCGGCGACCTGGTTTGGCTTTTTTCTTCAAAAATTATTTCAGGCCCATTCCAGCTTTGCACTATTTTGCTTGTATCTGTTATTTCAACCATACTTACTGTTTATACCTAATATTTAGGGGTTCCTTGCTAGATTTTTCTGGCCGTAATTTCACCTAGTAACTAGAAAAGAGGATGATTGACCTCTTAAGTAGAGGCTTTAAAGTTATTTAATAATAATTATATTTATTTCAATTTGAAACTTATTCTCTAGCTTCTTGAGCTACAAAGTTATTCATCATTTTATAATAAAGTTTTCCTAATATGTATGCTGAGTTTTGACTAACCAGGCCCATATCTTAGTTGACATATTTAATTTTTATCGGCACAGGCAATCCATGAAAGAGCTTTTTTATTTCAAGTTTTTGCTTCAGTATTTGTCAACACTCAATTCCAAAATAGTTTAAAATTTGAATCAATGTATAATCAGATAAAAGAAACTTCTAAGCTTGAAAAATTGTAGGCNGGGGTCAGTTCCTTTTTCCTGAAGCCGGCCTCGTCAAGGATTAATTGGCAAATAATAAAGTCTCTCAAACTTTCCTGCCAATCCCTCTGCTTTGCCCATTCATTCTATTTTACCAAGGATTTTGCCATATCAAGACTGGCCAACATGGTACATGCGTTGTGCTGTAAACTATTTTTTCTTTTTCAGGTTAAATTTTGAAAACAATATATTGTTTTGCTATTTTTTTTAAACTCTAAAAAAAAGAATTACGGAAAACTAAATTGGTGCGAAACTGATGGAGCATCGTTCGCTCTTCTTACCTAGGTCTTCAGCTTATTTTCTGGTGCCAACCAATAATTACCTGACTCTATGCAACTTTCCACCCCTTCTACTGCTGGAAAGATTGAGGGCTCTCTAAAAACACTATGCAAATTTGGTTTCTAAATTGTCAAGATGTGAAGGGGAAGTCCTAATTTAATGTTTAGAGTTGACAGTATACATATTTTTTCAACTTTCAAAAACAGTATACATATTTTTTCATATGGTCAATAGCTAAGAGACGACAATTTTAACTATAATATAAAAAAGGGTAGTCCGGCGCACTAAGCTCCCGCTATGCACGGAGTCCGTGGAAGGGCCAGACCATAAGGGTCTATTGTACGCAGCCTTACCCTGCATTTCTGCAGCAGCTGTTTCCACAGCTCGAACCCGTAACCTTCTGGTCACATGGCAATAACTTTACTAGTTACGCCAAGGCTCCCCTTTTAACTATAATATAACAACTTCAAATTACAGAAATATCTAGTTAGACATTTTCTACTACCATGTTGTCCATGTGAAAGAAAAAATCATATTTCTCCTTCCCGTTCAATTTTTTACCCCCGTTTCTCCTATTAAACTTCACATCCTTACAGTCTCAAGCACAATTCAATAGCAAAAGATGTCACAATTCAAATTAGTTCGTTTGTTCAAATACACGAGCCCGAAGCCCAATAGAAAAACTTCCTGCATAATATATGTTCCTTGTCAAGGATTTATCATTATGATATGTGTTCATACTTCTATTTATCATTAATCAGGGAAACTAGTCGCTTTGATATATGCACCCACCTGAATGGAGCAAATTTTGTCCTTAGCCAATTGCCACACAAGTGGGCTCTGCAGACCCATGAAATAGAAACTATATAAATAAATTAAAAACCCTTACACCCTCAAAATAATGCTCTAACAGGTCGTTTGGTTGTGAATAAGTTATCCCATAATTAATTATTCCAAAATTAATTATCCCACTCTCCCATAGAATAAAAAAATACTACTTTCCCGGAATTAGTTATACTATGATTTTAGCCCAACCAAACGTGGTATAAACTCATGTCTAATTTAATTCCGGAATTAATTATCTCTTATCCTTTGTACTAAACGAGCCCTAAAAGGTTTTACCTCTCCGCATCAGGTGCCCGTCAACTGCGCTGCCAGAGAAAGATGAAAGACCTGAGGGATAGGATTGAAGATGTTAGATGGCTTTGTTCCTTAACAGAGTCTGAGATTGTAAGTTTCTCTCCTTTCCTTTATCCTTTTTTTTTTAACGAGGACCAATGTCTTAGGTGTGGTTTGGTTGAATTTTTAGGATTTATTGATAGGTCTGAAAGTGTTGATACAACAACGTGCCAAAAAGATTGGTCATGAGTCTTTAGCAAACAAGTTTGATTTGAAGACCCTCCGAGCCCTTAGTGAGTTCTTTCTTCTTCCTTTCCAGAAATATGTAACATTTATTTGACTTTATTTATAGGTTGCACCATCTATAAATATTTATTTGACTTTATTTATAGGTTGCACCATCTATAAATTAGTGAATAAATTGGTATTTGCTGTAGATTTGTGAATTCTTTATCTGTTAGTATTTTCTTTCAGATTGATGGTAACTTCTTTCTCAAAAAAAAAGAAAAAAAAAAGAAGGGGTTTTTATGTTATCCTTGAGCTTGATATGTAAAATTTGCAAAGCTAGAGTAAGTAAATAACAGAAGGAGAGGAAAGAAGAATGAGGAGTAGATAAGAAGAAGGAATTAGAGAGGAGGGAATTCAGTTTTTTATTCATCAAAACAATTGTGAGATGACATATTCAAAGGGTTCTAATACGGCTTAGGACGTAATGGAGATGGCTTGAAAGAGGTTTATTTGTGAAGAGCTTTAATGGACTCGTTATATCATTGGGCTACTTCATAAGCATCCATGAAGTTGGTAGGATTGGCTATCCTCACTACAGACTTAAGCTCTTGTTTCTACCGATTGACAAAGCAAATGACAAAGTAGAGTTCAAGATGGAGGTAAATCATCATCATCATAACAATTGCAACTCCTGCTATTGATCCTGATAACAATCTACATCTCAACATTTCTGAAGTTTATTGAACTTATCTATAATATTGCTAATCCTTCTACGTAAATGTGCATAGAACACTGGCCTACGATCCTCCGTGATCCATTAGATACCTATTAAATCACTAATTAACTGCTTGCATTACATGCTTAATAGTTAAATTCAATTTCATTTATTGGGGAACTTGATAACTTTCGAAATATTTTATGCACCTTCTAATTTAGCCCTTGGATTGATGGTATCAAACTCAGCAAAGTTAAGCTTTGCTTTTAGGAGCTTCTGTGGGGAAGGGGCGTGACTTGGTAGGGCTGATATAGGAGGGGGTGAAATTAGATAAAAGGTGGATTGGGTGTTTCAAAGTGAGGGACAAGGGGATAGATAACTCTCAATTGTCATAGTAAGAGATGTATACAGGAGGAGTTACCTTTGCAACACCTGAGCTGGAGGATTACCCAATATCTGCTCCCACTAGTTGTCCTTGAGCCACAAATGGTAGGACCTTACTAATGAAGATATTCCGCGTTTCTGTTGGAGGTCAGTTGAGTGATAATCTTTCGAAACATCTCCTTATTAACTGGTATGAGTGATATTCTTTCCAACTTCAGATTAATGCCATTATTCTCTTGCATGAGAGTAGCAAGTTGACTTTGGGTCAAAATGATCATCTGAAACCTCCTAGAGCTCTGTGTTGCAAAGGATTAAATTTGGGGTTTCAAATTTATTCATGGTATCTTTAATTCCCTTAGAGTTTATGATTATCTGCGAGGGTTGTTAATGGATCAATCCTTTGATACCAACTTGTAACACTTGGCTTGATCGCAAAAAACTTGCACAATTAAAGTAAGTAAAGAACTGAAGGAAGAATAAGAAGAGTAGAGAAGAAGCGGGAATTAGAGAAGAGAGCAATAGTTTTTTTTGTCTTGCATCTGCATAATACCTTTTAACATATTTAGCAGAACAAATGAAGAATCTGGAATGGTCAAAACAAGTGTGAGCTGACATATGGGCGAGGGGAAGTTCTATTTAATTTTGTAGAAATTCGTTTCTTTTATAAGTAAGGTAAAGTTGTATATATATGAGTCAGCAACAACAGTATGCTGCTCTAGACAATTGAGTACATCAAAAGTTGCTCTCGCAGATTGTGAAGAGAGCTAATAAAATCAACTGTGGCTTCTACTTTGTCACCCTCATGTACATTAGCCATGTTACTCAAAAAAGAAAGGAAAAAGAAAATTGAAATTAAGACTAGATATATTTCCCTTTTTGTTTTCAAATATTATTGAAATTGCATCCCAGATGCTTGAGCGAACATCCCTTAGACCTGCTTTGCCAACCTTGTAAAAGTTCCAGTATGTCTCTTGGCATAGTCCCACTTTAAACCCAAAAAATTTAAAAACATGTCTCACAATTGTGTAGTAACCTTGCAATGCAAATAAAAAGGTGGTTTGTCAATATACCTACTCAATCTACTACAAATGTTCAGTCCTCTTTTTTGTATATTTGATTTTGTCAAGCATGCATTTTTTTTTCTATCCAAGTGAAGGACTGTACCTTGTGAGGGGCTTTATTTTGGCAAATCTGTTTCTAAGGCCACTTGAGAGTAGTAGTATGTAAATTCTGCTAGAGTGAGTAACAAGATCTGACTGTGAACATACCATTCTTCTTGCCCTTCCAACAAATGGTATCCTGATTTTACAAGCATATACGTTAGGTTCCTAGTTGTTGTAGTCGAGCACATGTTCTTTCTACTTCCCAGTTTCTGCAAAGTCTTCTGAAAGTGATATTCCAACTATTGTTTGAGTGATAATCTGCAACTGAGGCTTTCTGGTGGGCTGCCAATGTATATAGAACAGGGTAACTTTGTTTTGAAGGTGTGTAACCCAACCAAGAATCATACCAAAAACTTCCATCAAAAAACAAAAAAGAATCATGCCAAAAGCATCCCAAAGAGTCCTGATATTTTTCCAAACTGAATGTCCATACAAAAATTAGGCATCTTTGTTATCCAGTGATTGCACATGCCACCATCCTCCTTTGTTAACCTCCGTAGCCATTTGGTAGACTAACATTGCGCTTTTTCAAGTCCCTACCTCTAGGCCTCACACCTTTTTATCTTTCAAAACTGAATCCTAATTGACTAGATTGACTGGTTTATTGTCTCTGTTTTTTTTTGTCGATAAAGTAATAATTTCATTGAATGAGTTTGTGCATAACAGAGCCCGTATACAAGAGGTATACCAAAAAGTAGATGATTTATTGTTTATGTTTCCTTCCCATAGGAAATTTCGTCGCATCTTGTAAATCTTCTTTGCAACTGAGGAAGGAAGAGGAAAAAGTGACATGTTGTAATTAGGAAGTGAATCCAAAACACTGTTTATGAGGATTAATCTACCACCACGGAGCGATACTGCCTTTTACAATTTGACAACTTTCTTTCACATTTTTCCAGAAAATCATTCCATAATTGACTTATGGTTATGCCCCAAAGGAAGCCCCAAATAGGTGGTAGGAAGAGTCCCAATATTACACCCCAAAATGTCTGCTAAGAGCTGGATAATCTGGATCTCGTTTAATGGAAAGAGCCTGTCTCTTATGCAGATTTATATGGAGTCCAGTGACTGCCTCAAAGAGTAACTAAATAAGTGTGACTGTGTGAGGTAGTGCATCCATTCAGTCGCCGATTCACAAAGTAATTTATAGAAATTCTAAAAGATATTTTCGGTTCGGAGTTGCCCAAAGGCTAGGTGTGATCCTTTGAGCTCTGATTGCTACTCCTGCCAACGAGTGCCTTAATTCTCTCGTAACAGATAAGTAGATGGTTATTATTTCATTCTAGCTAAAATTGGGTGTCTGACAGTGATGTGAAGCAACACATGTTTTGAAATTGAGAATACCTGTTTATTTGTTTAATGTGATAACACTGGAATATGCTATTACACTTCTTTCATATGAACAAATGGTTACAGCTTAAATCCAACTGTAAAAAGAATAGCTATCTGTCTCATTTGCACTTATGAAATTAAAAAGAATTTCTTTCTACACTATTTCCCTTTGAACCATAAGAAGGTGCTGACATAGGACCCTTTATTTTTTTTTTTTTTTATACCCTCTTAAGAGGAAGATGCCAAAAAATCACAAGAACTTGAAAGCAAAACCACGTTTTTGTAGAAATTGAAAGTGACAAATCAAATTGGAAATGAGGGCTTTTATTGTGTGTAAACGGGAAATGTTATAGACTGATTTTAAAAGCTTGATAGACTGAAAACATCAGTATTATTATGGTTCATTTGAGGCACGCTTAAGCCCTAAAGCTAGGTGAAGCTCAAGGGGGGCGCTTTGTCTCGCTCCGGTAGCGTACAAATGCAGGTATCAAGGTGTTAAGGCATGTGCCTCATCATCCATGCGCTCTATCTTTAAGAGAACTGTCCTAAATAATAAATATAACCAACAAAGAGATTTATAAATTAAGGAGGAAATATTATTAATGAATTTGTTACTTATTAAGGAAAAGAATTTAATATAAGACAACTAGTCAGTAAACCTGAATGAGAAATTTAAAACTGCATTTTTTCATCTAATTCAAAATTTCAAATTTTACGCACTTTATTTACATGTTCTTTTACTTACTTAGCTGTAGTATTTTCAATTGCTTTGCTCATATAAATGTTTTTTGCTTTTAGTTATTTTTTCTAGCTTTCCATTTGAAGATTGTTTATCATTGCGCCTTTAGTTACTGATGTCCATTTGAATGTGTTGTTCATCTAAAGCCGCATCAGGCCTTGAGCTATTTTCTATGCTTTTCGCTTTTGACAATAGTGCAAAACATATAGGTATACTGATGTGAGTAGAATCAGATCCTCCTTTTTAACTTGAGATTGAAATGTTTGGTATGCAGTCTCATGAATTAAAAGAAGGGGAATGCTAATATTAGATGAATGTTCTCTGCTCTCCATGGGCTTTTACATTTAAGAGATAAGACATGTTACTGTAACAGATAGTCAAGAGTAACTCTCAGTTAAATTTTGGTGCGACATCAATTTTGCGAGTGAGCGGACTTTCAAGGAAAGATTTGATGAGGAGCTGCTGAAAGAAACCTGTAGAATAAAGAAATAAGGTTTTGGCACTCAGTTGGTATAGCTTATCTTCGGTTTTGTTGCTCTTCTACGAAAGCAGTTTCCAACTTTTGCGGTACTATTGCAAGCTAAGAAGCCAGTAGAATAAAGAAAGAAGATTCTAGCTTCCGACTGGTATAGTGGTATTTAGGTTCTGGTTCCCTTTTGCCTAAAGGCAGTTTCATCTTTTAGAGCTGCTGCTTTTGGAGAAAGGGAGTGTGTGTGGTCAGATGCTCCTAAAAATAGTAATGTTTCTGTTTCTTTTTTCCCCCCTTTTTGGGTATACTTATCTGTTGCACTAGAATAGAAGTTGTTTAACTGTTAAGTCTACAGGAAAGACCATCATGAGAGAGTAAATGTTTTGTAGGAATTGTAGAGGAAATGATAAATTCTTAGCATTTTAATGAATCTATGAACATAGTAATACTCAAAGGTAAGTTCTATAAAGCGGTGGTTAGATCGGCCATGATGTATGGGGCTGAGTGTTGGCCTGTTAAGAACTCACACATCCAAAAGATGAAAGTAGTAGAAATGAGGATGTTGAGGTGGATGTGCGGGCACACTAAGATGGACAAGATTAGAAATGATGATATTCGGGAGAAGGTGCACGTGGCTCCCATTGATGACAAGATGCGGGAAGCGAGGCTCAAATGGTTCGGGCATGTACCGAGGAGAAGGCCAGATGCTCCAGTAAGGAGGTGCGAGCGGCTGGTTGTGGAGAGTTCGAGAAGAGGTAGAGGGCGGCCTAAGAAGTATTGGGGAGAAGTGATCAGGCAGGATATGGCGAGGCTTCATATTTCCGAGGACATGACACTTGATAGGAAGTTGTGGAGGTCGAGTATTACGGTTGTAGGCTAGGAGGTAGTTGAGTCTTGCGTTACTTTGTACCGTTGTGAGCCTAGTCTGGTAAGGTTTTTGTCTAAAATAGATAGGGGCATTGTCGTGTCTTAATATTTTCTCTTTTCGGTGCAGGACCTATTTACTAGCCATCATTTCTGCCTTGTATTTTTCTTCTGCATTTTATGTTCCTATTTTTCCTATGATCTCTATGGTGAAACTAATATTCTCTCCTTTTGTTTTTTCTTATTATCTTGAGCCGAGGGTCTTTCGGAAACAGCCTCTCTACTCCTTCGAGGTAGGGATAAGGTCTGCGTACATACTACCCTCCCCAGACCCCACTTGTGGAATTTTACTGGGTGGTTGTTGTTGTATGAACATAGTAATACTATTAACATAATTTTCATAACCTTTTGTTGTTTCCAAGTCATTTATACCATAATATTAGGAGAACCTAGAAGTTAGACACTTGGAACTAGGACTCTTTTACCACTCTTCTCAAAAACACATTCCAACAGTATTGCTCTATTTGGATCGTGGAGGAACCTCCTTTTGGATCTCTCATCCTTGATTTGATGGAGGATTCTTTGTTGATGCGTGCAATGATTTCTCAGCTTTACCTTATCTGCTTTGACAATTATGCAATTTGTTAGTACGTTATTGAAGCATGATAGCTTACAAGATTTGTAATATGAGGTCAATGGGTTTAGTTGCATTCAACTAACTTGGCTATGGGAAAGTGGAAGTCTGAAGAAGTCCTCACTGCATCACTGCAGCTGTCCAAACCAACATAGGCAAAAAATTCTAGGCGATTTCTTCCTATTTGCCTAAGTTTTGGTGGCAGAGTTACCTGATACCTATGCAAGTTGGATGTAGCAGGTACCCACTGAATTAATCGAGGTGCGCCCAAACTGATAGGGACACCACCATCAGTCAAAAAAAAAAAAAAAAAAAAAAAAAAAAACAATGTAGTTTTGTCATTTCCTTAAAGTTGAACCTTTGAAGAATTATTAACTTATTGTGGGTTTTCTACCCCTAATGGGGTTCCCTCTTAGCTTATTTCTTTTTGTGTTGTGTAATTTATCCTGCATGAATATCTTTCCTTGTTTTATCATCCTGTCCCTTCTTCTCTGGTCACCTATTTAACCTAAGAACTTTTATCCATTTCTAGCATTATTGTAACTTCAAAAAGCTTTACCATATATGCCTTAATGGCATCAGCTTTTAATTCCCTCGATATTTTGTAAAAAACTCACACCTGTTATTTCAGTTGCCTGTTCTTTCTGCCAATGATTTTAACCTACTAAAGTCTTTTTCAGTATAATTATTACTAGTTATAACTTGCCGAAAGAATCTATGTAAATGACATGAATCACACATCTTTTGGGTGAAGTTTTGATCACTTCATTATTAGAGTATCTTATAATGTCTATTCTGCAGGTTTCATTTTGATGGAGAATCTTAAAGGAAAACTTAAAGATCTCTCCTGTATACCTGGTACAGACGAGTCCTCAGCAAATTTAGGTGCATGTAATCTGTTGAATTATGATCTAGACAAGACTTTTGCCAATATGGAGATTGAACAACTGAGCTCCTACATTTGCAGTGATAAGAGGAAGAGAATTATGGAGATGTAAGTTATCCAAAATTCATTTGGTCATTAGTCATTACCCCGTAAATTAATTGTCTGAATCACATCACATGATATTTCTGAAATCGTTGTTCTGGTCAATCCTTGTTTTCCATTCCCAATTTGTTTTTAGCTTCCAAAGCATGGCTGCATAATATGTAAATTATTTTAAGCAATCTCATTTCTGCACACATTTTATCAGAATGTGCACAAAACATGAAGTTGTGTTTACCAACTTTCGGCTTCATTAATATGAAAGTGCATAAAACATGAAGTTCTGTTTTCCGACTTTCAGCTTCATCAATATGGTAGTCGCATTCTTTCTCTTAGGCTATAACTTTAAGAGGCCACGTAATTGAACTCTAGATATCATTTGTTTCAACTTCTTTTCTTTCCTTTTCTTTTAATCTCTTTTGAAAGATGAACGATTTCAGACCCTCGCACTATTTGTGTCCTGAGTTCTTATGGTCTGCTGTAGGTTTTCTGAAGACACATCTCCAAATAGAAAGCAGAGAGCTAACAGTGACAGCAGTAGAGATTGATATAAAGTAGATTATGAGCTCTCCTATGACCTATCTATCTTGCTTGAGAAAGCCTGTTGTATGTATAATCAAATTTTGATGTGTGCTTCTTGAAGAGGGGAGGTACTTATTTCCATTTTTCCTGTCATTTTTGAGCTGTTAAAGATGGCTTTACTTTTGTAATTTTAGTCTAAGAAAGTTGGTTTGGAGAAGAATACAGGGGATTTTCATTTGTTTGCTTGATGTTAACATGATTCTTAGACTATTTATGTAGCAATGGATAGTTATGTTACGCACGTAATTGTATGCGGAAATAATAATACAGGGCATCTTTATGAAAAGCTCGCGATATCAAAGTAATAATTGGTTTTATTCTAGTATTGCTAATATATTATCACATATAACTAATTAGATTTTTGCAAGAGTTATATAGATACGAATTATGTGAGGTCTTATGTCATAAACTAAATGATGTATTAATAATCGAAAGTGTTTTAGTGGAACTCGTATAATGTGATAATAGTCTACCTGAAATAGTCTATCTGCCTTCTTAAAGGTAGGGATAAGGTGTGCATGTACTCTATTCTTCCTAGATCCCTTGTGGGATTATATAGGTATGTTGTTGTTGTCGTCGTATACTGTGGTAACAATATTAGATACTAGTAATTGAAATTTCTGAATCAGTACTATTAAATTAGCTAATGGCGTTATAAACCTAAAGTCGTACGTACGTCTCAGCTATTATAACAAAAAATTTAATTAGAGAGCACTGAGTGATTATATATTTATTTACGTCGCACGAGACAATAGAGTCATCTGTAAGTTCATCAAAGAAATGATTATTTGTAAACAAATAAACTCTCTGCCCAACCCAAAAGAAAATTTATCTCCCGATGTACACGGATATCTTACCGTATATTCTTTGATTCAGTGAATGTAAAAGCCCGTTTGGACATAATTTTTTTTTTACTTTTTTTCGTAAAATCTTCATATTTTTCAAAAACAATGTTAGGCCATAACATTTTTAATTTTCACTTGAAGATGAATTTTGGAATTTTTTTTTTAAATTTTGGAAAACTCCAAAAATCTATTTTTCAAAATTTTTCACTCAGATCACTCACAAAACTTCAAAAACAACCCAAAATTATATTTATATCCAAACACAACTCTAATTTTCAAATACTATTTTCGCTTTGAATTTTTTTTTGTTGGAATTTTACAATTCTTATGTCCAAATGCCCACTAAGTGTGTTTTATATGGAGACGAGTTTAAATTTCAGCAAAAACAAAAAGAATGAAGTGATTTTTCCTCATCCAGGTGTTGATTGACAGATACTTATATTTGAGGAAAGTAATATGCACAAAAAAACTCACCTTCCGATGTGCACACATATCTTACAGTATATTCAATGAGTGGTTTATATATGCCTTTTTGTTTATAATAAATGTAGGAGGACTGTTACAAAGAGAAACAATCAAGCACAAGAACAAAGCAAGTGGCCATGCAAAGCTTAAAGAAAAGATAGAAAAGCTGCCAAAATGAACTGAATATTGTTTTCTTCCTCATTTCCTTTTTTATTTACTGAAACTGAATGACGGTGTGGCTTAACACTCACACTTACACCATACTTAATCATAATCTTATTAACGGCTTTATTATTGTTTCTTTAGAGGGTAATTCCACTGAACGTTATTATTACTCCACAATAAGTGACCAATTTACTTTTAACACGCCCATTAAGAAAATGCTAAATTCTATACAAAAATACCTAGTATAACTAAAATACCCTTAATTAAATATTTAATGTGAGGAGTAAGAAAACTTTTTAGGGATATATACATAAGGTTAATTTTATAAAAACAAATTGAATTCTTTCTTGGTTATATAAATTAATACTTATTTTGGATCAAAATAAAAAAATAAATTGATCACTTATTATGGACAGGAGGGAGTATACTTCTTAAACCTTCTTTACTTTTCTTTTAACCATACTGTAGTACTTAGTAAAGTAATTCTTTGCCAATCAGGAGTTGACACATTGATTGTGTGGTGTGGTTAGCAACTTTTTACAGTGTCTGACTAGACATACAGCTTAAGAAATAAAAAAGGATTTCTAGTCTTAAATATGTTATGATATTTTATAATTATAAAACATATCAATAAAAATTAAATGAGAAGTTTAAAGTTAAAAAAAATTTAAATTAAGAAAATATAATATTCTTATTATAACATATTAAAAACAAAAGATTGTCACATAATATGGAATAGATTGAGTATAATGGATTTATTTAAAGCTAATTGGCATTAGTAAAAGGCAAAAAAGAAAGGATAAATAAACAGAAGTCATTTCGTCTTGCATTTTCTTCAACTAATTAAATCTCATCGTTTGATTTTACTATTAGATTAATGTTGAACCATTAATAAAAAGTAAACTATAGTGTTAAATAATCAACTACTTTAGGAGAGACATCCACCTTTTGGAGGAGAGTGTTGGACTTTAAGCCATTGGGCTTTAAAGTAGAAGAAGTGTGAATTGGAAATGGAGGGAAATAAAATGGAGGGAAAATAAAAATTTGAAGAAGTGAACTTTTGTCTTGCACTTTATCCCTCATTGATGAGAGACAATCACATTTGTGTGCTTATATATAGATTCACTTCTTAAAGCTCTTAAAAGGAGTTGAAGAGAATGAACCCTCGCGCCGTCGTCGTCGTCGTCGCTCGGCTCGGCTTCGGTTTCGGCAAATGATCGATAAGATTATTTTTTGGACAAAATTTATTTAATTATTTAATAATTAATTAAATGCCAAATCACTGCTGAAACTACGCCAGAACCCTGCTGAAAGTTCAGAGGGCCTCGCTGACCGCGACCGAGGTAGAATCGCGGCAGCCAGATTCAGAGAGCCACACTAGTCGCGGTTCTGCCGCGATCGCGGTAAAACCGCGGCAGGCCGCGTATTTTCTGAAAAGGCACCTTTCCAGACACCTCTTCTGATAT